TAAAAAGCATATAAACCAGGCACTGATGGCTCATAGCGCTAATCCTAGCTTCTCAGGAGACTGAGATCTTAGGATGGTGGTTTGAAGCTAAGCCTGAGCAGGAAGGTTCTTGTGACTTATGTCCATTTAACCACCAGAAAGCTGGATGTGGAGTTTGGGCTCAAATAGTAGAGCACTATCCATGAACGGAAAAGCTCAGGGATAGTACATAGGCCCTGAGTTCAAACCCCAGGACCAGTACAAAACAAACACAAAACATATCAAGTAGTAAATATAAGAAAAGAAGTGCAAGCATTATTGCAAGAAATAAATAAAAAGACATGCCATGTTCATAATTGGAAGATCGAATATTATTAATGTACCAGAACTTTCCAAACTGGTTAATAGATTTCAGTGCAGTTCCTATCAAAATTTCAACTCCCTTTTAGTACAAGTTGAGAAATCCTAAGATTCATATAAAAATGCAAGGAACACAGAGTAGTTGAAATAATCTTAAGAAAGAAGAACAAAGTTAAAAGACTTCCTTTTCTTTTAAAAAATTACTGTAAAGGCACAGTGATCAAGACAGTGTGTGATTACCATAAGGATAGACACATCGATAGAATAGAATGGAAAGTCTAGCCAGGAAATAAAAAGCATGCATTTATGGCTAATTGATTTTCAACAGCATGCCAAGATAGTGTAGATAGGGTAGTCTTTTCAGAAATATTACTGAGATAGCAATATTCACATGCAAAATAATGAAGTTGGACTCAACCTTACATTGTCTATAAGAATTAACTCAAAGTGGATCTGGGAGGAGGAGGGGTCTCTAAAATGTAGCATGTAGCATGAAGCGTGCTTGAGACCCAGGGTCCAATCCCTGATACCGCCCAAGAGCAAAATAAAGGAGGGAGAAAGGAAGAGAATATTCTTAGAACTCAACAATAAAAAGATAGCTCAGTTTGAAAGTGTGCAAAGCTGGAAATCTCTTTGCACAGCTATTTAAAGATAATAAATTTAAAAAATTAAAAGTGTGCAAAGGAAGCCAGACACTGGTGGCTCACAGCTGGAGGTTGAGATCTGAGGCTTGCAGCTCAAAGCCAGCCCAGGCAGTAATGTCCATGAGACTCTTATCTCCAGTAGAACTACCAAAAAAGCCGAAGTGAAACTCTGTCTCAAGTGATAGAGTGCTAGCCTTGAGCAAAAAAAATCTCAGGGACAGTAGCTAGGCTCTGAGTTCAAGTCCCAGGACCGCCACTACCACCAACAAAAAAACAGTGTGTAAAGGATTTACACAGATATTTCTCCAGAGAAGATACACAAATGACCAGAACACATTAAAAAAGATGTTCAGTATCTTTAGTCGTTAGAGAAATCAACCTGGTTTCAATATGAGATTCTGTTTGCATACCCATTAGGAGAGCTAGAATCAAAATATTAGATAATAACAAGTATTGACAAAGATGTGGAGAAATTGAAGTCCTCATACATAGCTGTGGAAAAGAGCACCTGCTTTGGAAAATGGTTTGGCAAAATGTTGGACATATGGAAGTACCATATGACCCAGCAATTCCACTTGTAGGTATGTAGCCAAGGGAATTGAAAATGAGTCCACACCAGAATGTGTACAAAAATGTTCATAGCAGCATTACTCAAAATATGCCCATAGTAAAAACCCAGATGTCCACCAACTGAAAATTGGTCAATAAAATGTGATATATTTGTAGGATGGAATATTATCTATGAAAAGGAATAAAATTCTGATACATACTACAGAATGGATGAACCTTGAAAAAACTTTCCTGCATGAATCTATATACAATGGCCACATCTTATATGATTCAACTCATATAAAATGTGCAGAAAAGGTAAAGACTTAGTATCAGGAAGTAGATTAGTAGATTATATTTGTATATTGCTAGGGCCTAGGGGAAGAAGAGAATGTGGAGAGAGCATAAAGATTTGGGTTTTTTCTGTGATAATGAAAATCTTCCAGAATTATATAGTGGCAATGGTTGTGCAATTCTGTGAATAAATTAAGAATCATTAAATTGCATATCTTAAAAGATTGGACTTTATAATACATGAATTTTATCCAAAAGTTATTAAATAAAGAGTGAATAAATGACTTTTTAAAAAGCCATTATTTATATGTCATAGACAACAAACCCCCAAAATGGAAAAACAATACATATTATAATTCTTGAATAAAGAGGAAATTTGCACAATATTTCAGAATACGTGGTATAGAGTTTAGATAACTAAGGTTGTGGGACTATTAGAGAGTCAGACAAAAACAATTTAAGGTCTAGAAAGAGATTTAAGCACATGTATTAGGAAAATAATATTCTGTGTATTATTTATGTTACCATATATAACATAGTAATATATAAGTAAGGTAAAAATTAGTGCTCCTCATATCACAATCGAAGCCCAAATTCCCCACCCCCAAATGTGATAACCTGTCTGAAAAATAAGGAAAAAAGGTTGGGGGTGTCAATCAAGTGGTCCAGTGCCTTGCTAGCAAGCATAGTCCCTGAGTTCAAAACCCAGTATTCCTCCTCCCCCCCCCCCCCACCAAATGGTGTTTATCATGAAGAAATATACCCTGCCATGCTTTACCAGTTGGCAGTTGTGGTTGAAAACAGCATAAATTATTTCTGGCAATCTGAGTCACAAAGGCATTTACAGTAAAGATACTGATACCTCAGCATCAATGGAAAACCAAGCTCAGAAGATGAAGGAAGCATAGGCCCCTAAGGAGTTAGGAAAACATCCTCCAAAGGTCACTGGAATTAGGGGGATGTCCCCAGTCTGTTGTTGCTGCTCAGGATTGTAGACCTACTACTGACACCATGAATAACCTCTAATAGGATGTGTTTCTGCGACTCCTCCCTCTCAGAGACTGGGGCAGAGCTCAATCATGTTCTAGAAAGAGGAGTGTCCACCTTCAGCACTGGGGTAGGAGGAACACGCTGTAGCATCAATCAGGTAGGAAGAGAAAGAGCCAGAAATGACAGATTTCCACTAACATTTGGAATGATTAAAATTAGAACCATACTTTGTATCATAGACCAAAATAAATTCCACATGGGTTCAGAATTTAAATGTAAAACGTGAGATCATAAAAGTACTTAAAGAAACTACACATGAATATTGATGTGATCTTGGTGAGAGTAAGTTGCTAAGCATGATATAAATATCAGAAATCCATTAAAATATTGGTAGAGAATTAAACAACTCAGAAAGGAAATCCTGTTCTGTTAAGTTAAAAACAGAAGTTCAGGGCTGGAGGTATAGTTCAGTGGTAGAGTGCTTGCCTCGCATGCTCAGGCCCTGGGTTTGATCTCTAGTGTTATCAATTTTTAAAGAAAAAATATATTTGTATATATACCTCCAAAAAAGACTATAGAGTGTTATAGATAAAAAATAACCAGTGAAGATCTCTTGGATGATGACACTAGAGATGATTTTGCCTTCCTTCTCTCCTATATTGAAATAAATTGGCTCGCTAGCTGATTGGTTGGTTGGTTGGTTGGTTGGTTGGTTGGTTGGTTGGTTGGTTGGTTGGTGAGAATACAGTGTCAGGCTTCTCACAAGTAAATGTGAACATAACCTCACAGAGCAGGTAATGAGCCAGCATGTTTCCATACCTACCTGTGTAAGTGATGTTTACTAGAATTTGTTCCACTGGGTGACATTTTGAAAGGAAGATCTGAATCATTGAATGCCCCCAGTTCATGAGGTCTCTCTGTATCCCCCCCCCCCATGTTTATTTTGTTATACTGTGTTAGACCCATCTGCTTCATGAGAAACTCACCGTTTAGGATATTAGCATCTAAGAGGAAGACAGTCACAAAGACTGTAGATTTTTATTATGATTTATATCTCATCCTCATACCCCTACCTGTAAAACAGGCATTGTCTGGGAGTCCATCTCAGTAAAGTGTGCTCTTCTATATCTGTTGGGCATAAGGAATAGAGAGAGTCCTTCTATTGCCCACATAGGAGAAAAACTCACAGAAGCATCAACATAAAGGATGAGGAAAACCTTGCATGTTCCAGAAAGCCCACTCTGCACATGTAGAAACAGACTAAACAAGCTTGACACCGAAAATAATTTTAAAATGGCCACTTTTTCCTATTTTTGCCACTCAGTTACTTTTCTTCCTTGTTAAAGAATCATTGTGCCTTTGGATTCAGTCTGTCCTGTTAAGATGCAAATCAAGTAAACATGATCTTACTAGAGATTTCTAGTTGAAATGTTCATGTTTTAAAAGGCTTTTTAAAAAAAGTTTTTTCTATGACCATTTTCTCAGAGGACTCATTAAACATTCTTTTTCAGTCATAAACAGCATGATTCTGAACTTTTATACGTTTCATATTCTCCTTGTCTTCATGTTTCATGTTAATATCGGAACCCCATTGCTCTGGGCTGGAATTAAATTGCTGTGCCACTGTTTTGGATATTAGATGGCTTTGTATTACAGTTTTCACTGCAGTTATTTTGCAAGATGGAGTTAAAGTAGCTTGAGAATATGTATGGTGTTGAGCTACATATTTCTTGAGAAGTTTTGCAGTTCTCTCATGTTCTGTACTTTTCCCTTATTTATTTTGATGGCATGGAGCAGAATGATAGATAGGCAGAAGAAAAGCTGTTCCTTTTTTCTAGAAGATGCTTGGAAAAGTTACAATAACTCTTGTTTCCTTGGTATCCCCATATGAAGTTTTGTGCAATGGCTGTGGTGCTCCATGCATGTCTTACAAATCACAGCGGAAGTGGCAGGTGCTGCATTGTTGAGCATCCTCTGATACCCAGTCCTTGCAGATGAGGTGAGGTAGCTGGGTAGTGGGCAGGTGAGGTGTCACACTTCAGTGCAGTGGGGAGGGGAGCATGTGCAGCCGGAAGGGCTTGGTATCATGGTACCTCCAAGCCTGGTCATTTTCTACCGAGCTATCCTCCACTGCTTCTGGGCACAGCAAGACTTCATGCATGTACTTTTCTTGTCTCTTTCCAGGAGCAGCTTATTGCCAGTTCATGGACATGCTCTTTCCAGGCTGCATTAGTTTGAAGAAAGTAAAATTTCAAGCAAAATTGGAGCATGAGTATATTCATAATTTCAAACTTCTGCAAGCATCATTTAAGCGAATGAACGTTGATAAGGTATGAAATTCCCTTTTATCTCTATAAATCGAACTGTTCAAGCCAGGAGCCAGTGGGTCATGCCTGTAGTCCTACTTACCTAGGAGGCTGAGATCTGAGGATCATGGTTCAAAGCCAGCCTGGTCAGGAAAATTGGGGAGGCTCCTTATCACCATTTAATAATAATAATAATAATAGGAACTGAAATTGTGGCTCACGTGGTAGAGTACTAGCTTTGAGCATAAAAGCTCAGAGACAGCTCCCCAGGCCCTGAATTCAAGCCTCAGAACTCACACCAAAAAAATTAAATAAATAAAATGCACTTTTCTTTAGAATTGTTTTCTGTCAGAAATCTATAAACTTGTAAATGGGAATATCTCTTGATATCTCAACAAATTGGGGTCTGTAAAGCATCAATCCTAACTTCCCATATTTGGATGAAGTTTTAATTTAAAGAGATTGTCTAAACTTGCAACCATTTGACTAAAAACTTTTAACAGGAATTATAAGTGTTTAAACATTAATAGCTATGTTTACTATTGCAGATGAGAAATTTTTATGTTTTCCAGATGTTTCTGTGGTTCTTTGTATATTTTGTTCCAGGGAAAAACATCTTACTGTGGAACAGCATGATTCTCAGTCCCAGCTCATTATGGAACAAGTTACTTGAATTCTTTTACCCTGAGTTTACTCATCTATAAAAGAAGTCTAGAAATGTCTTGCTCATAGTTATGAAGTTGAAATGAAGGAATGCATGTAAAACTGTCCAGTACAAGCCAGGCACTGTGGCTTATGTCTGTAATCCTAGCTATTCATGAGGCTGAGATCTAAGGATCACTGTTTGAAGCCAGCCTAAGCAGAAATGTCCATGAGACTCATCTCCAATTAACTACACACAAAGAAAAGATGGAAGTAGAGCTGTAGCTCAAATGGTAAAGTGCAGCCTTGAGGAAAAAAAGCTCAGGGACAGTGCCCAGGTCTCTCTCTCTCTCTCTCTCTCTCTCTCTCTCACACACACACACACACACACACACACACACACACACACACACACATACAAAATGACCAGCACAACAGCTGGGCACTAGTAGCTCATGCTGTCATCCTAGCTACTCAGAAGGCTGAAAATTGCTAGGGTCCATCTCTAAACTTAACCAGCAAAAAGCTGGGCTGGAGGTATGTCTCAAATAGTAGAATGTTAACTCAGCAAGTAAGCTGAGCAAGCATGAGACCTTGATTCAGGCCCCAGTACTGGAGGAAAATACGTTTCCAGCATTGTAAATACCCTCAGATTCTCAATATTGGTTCATAAATTTCCCTTTTCCCTCTTTGAATTTTCTTAATTTTATCCTAGAATGATTCACCTGGAGTTAAATGCTGGAGTCCTTTATCCACTATAAGAAACTATTACCTAAAACTAATCAATCTCTTTTCTGCCTATGGACTGCTATTCAGATGTATGCTTATTAATTCACATTCTTTATGTAGGGTATGTCTCTTTGAATAAACTTAGAAGAGCTTTCTTTGTAATAAATTGATTATAGCAGTAATACATAGAATACTAAGCTATAAGAGAGAGGCATTAAATGGAAAAAGAGTTGGTGAAATATCTATATTGAGAGTGGCACTGAGATTTTAACTCAGTCCCTTACACTTGCAAGGCAGTTATTCTATCATATGAGTCATACCTAAGCCCTTTTGTAATTCAGTTATTTTTTAATTTTGTCTTGCTTTTTGCCTGGACTGTTCTGGAACAGGCACGTACTACCATGCTCAGCCTTTTCTGTTGAGATCGGAGTCTCACAAACTATTCCCTCCCTCCTCTGGTTGGAACTGTGATCTTCCTGACATTAGCCTCATAAATTGCTAGGATTAAAGGTGTGAGCCACCAGGCACAGCTATATTTTTTACAGGCACAGCTATATTTTTTATTTAATACAGTTTTTTTCCTTCTAAGTAAATGCATTCTTATCAAAATATTAAATCTGGCCAAACATTCTCAGAATTTTTATTTCAAATTGTGTAGTCTTGAGCCTGATGGTTCGTACCTGTAGTTCAGCTATTCTGGAGTCTGAGGCAGGATGATCACTAAGCCCACGAGTTTGAGACGAACCTTAGAAGCATAGCAATATTCTAATACAATAAAATATACTTTCTTTATCACACCTTAGCCTTTTACAATGCTAATTTCCAGTTAGCTGTTAAGATATATATTCAAAACCAGATTCTTTCTCATTTTATGAGTCAATAGTGCTTCTTTTGTCTTTTTCAACTTCCTATCTATGCTTCTACATTTGAAAAAATGAAACGCTTGTCCATAGGTGTATTGAAGGCACTACTGTATGTCAAATGAATTTATCTGTATGTCTAGTAATAATATGTATACAAGAGGACGGATGAACAGTTGTTAAGCATGTCAAAGAAAAAGTCTTGCAGTACTGAGCCTGGCCTCAGTACCCTTGTGGCTCCTCTCGCTTTCAATTGCCATGAGATGATGCTGTGTAGTCCTCTTATATCTGTCACAGCCCAAAGAGTATAACAAGACCCTTTCTGTGCAAAGTTTTGTTTGCCACCTCAGCTTTGGAACTTAGACCCCTGAAACGTAACATTCCTACAGAGAATGTGAGATTAAGTCAACAGAAGCAAGTGCATTTTGCCAGGTGCTGGTGGCTCACATCTATAATCCTAGCTACTCAGGAGGCTGAAAGCAGGATTAAGGTTGGAGGCCAGCCTGATATGAAAAGTCCAGAAGATTCCCATCTCCAAAATAACCAGCAAGAAATAGGACTGAACACACAGTTCAAGTGATAGAGCATCAATAGCAAGCAAGAGGCCCTGATTCAAATCCTGGTATTGCCAAAAATTTTGAGAAGAAACAGCCACCTTTTAGTTGTTCACATACCACATCATCTAAAACTATAAATTTCCATGCCTTGCACAAAAAGTATATTCGGCTGTTTATGCAATAAGAAGCACTATACTGTCACTTTCTAGTAATCATAAATAAATAAACAAAACTTAGAAGATAAAAAAGTAAGTTAATATTACAATGAAAAGTCAGTTGAGGGCTGTAAAGGTAGTTCAGTGGGAGAGTGCTTGCCTTCATTCATGAAGCCCAGGGTTCAATTCCTTAGCACCACATAAGCAGAAAAAGCCAGAAGTGGCACTTGACTCAAATGGTAGAGCGCTAGCCTTGAGCTGAAGTGCTGAGGGACAGCCCCCAGGCCCAGAGTTCAGGCCCCCATGATAGAACAAACAAACAAAAACAAAAATCTGTGTCAGAAATTCTTCCAGAGAAAGAAAGGAAATATCAACACCAAAGTCTCTAGTACCAGAAGAACCTTTATGAGAAATATGGTTCTTTTCAAAAGCCTGCTTCTTTTTATTTTGTTCTGTACTTGGTTTCTTTTCTCTTTTAACTGCAAAAAAAGGAAAAATTTCTTACTAATAATTTACCTTTATGGCTCACTAAAAATGCTTCCATTGCCTTTTCTCTTTCGGTTGACATTGATGTTTACAGTCTTTCTGCAGTTTCTAAGTGGTTCTGTTGATGCATTTTAGGACATTGATGGCATAGAGATCCAGAGATGGCAAAGCATTGCTGCAAGTGGAATTCATGCAGCTTTCATTCACATGTCACACAGGGATGTCTGGTGCCCAGGGCACTGGGTTTCTCACTAAGTCTCATACTTACACATTTACAACCTCACCCCTTGGTTTGTTCACTCTCTCATGGTAGAATCCCTATCCAGCAGTGAAGTAAAGTCTAGTAATAGTGCAGTTTGGGGAGTTCATTACCTTTCCATTTTCTTTTGAAAATAGTGGCCTGATCAATTTCAGCTAAGTAATCCAACCCCATTTTTTTCTTGGTCATAATTCCAATGCCTTCCCATATTAATGTCAGCCACCTATCGGGAATACTTATAGAGCCTTCTGGTTGAAGTGGGCGAGGTTACCCCATGAAATGCTTAGCTTCCTGTCTTGGGAACCCATGTGAATGTTGTGTGCCTTGTCCCCCCAGGCACCTCTCCCCAGCCCCTAGACAGCCTGCAGCTCTTTCCCTCTCCATTCTCAGGGAGCTATGTTTCTGGGTGGTCCAAGAATTTCTGGGCCCTGGATTGAGGTTAGTTGTTTTCATACTTGTCTTTTTATATTGTAAATAAGCTCTGGGAAAGCTCATTTTGTTTCATAGGAACCATTGGCTTGGTATCCATTTGTATTGACTTGAATCTTATTCATTGGTACTCTCTAGTAATTATAATCCTTAGAAGCATTTACTCCAATACAACTGAGTCAAGTGTGACTAATAGGAAAAGCCATCAATCTTGAAACAGTATAACCTCCCAGGCCTGTGTCTGTATGGGAGATGCTTTAACAATAAGAATTCTATAAGCTCCTCTTTTATTCTTTTTCTTTTCTTTTCTAAATGATTTGTTTGATTTTATTTGCTTTTTTTTTTTTTTTTAATGAGAGAGGGCCTCACTGTTTGTAACCCAGGCTGTCCTCAAACTCAAAATCCTCCTGCCTCAGCAGCGTAAGTGTTAGGACTATAGGTGTGTACCACCATACCTGGCAGATCAGTCCCTCTCAACAGAAAAGAACATATCATTTTTTAGTTCAGAAGCATTAAATATTCCTAGACACCCAACTATGTGGTTCTTGGATAAGTTCTTTCACCATATTACATGAAAAAGATCATGTTAATTCTAGTGTACACCTCTCTGAGAAGGAGAGCGTGAATTGCAGGCAAGTGGGAATATTTAGAGGAGCAATAGAGTTGTATTAAATACCAGCAAGCCTTAGGCTCATGGCTCACGCTCATTTCCCTTGCAGGTGATTCCAGTGGAGAAGCTAGTGAAAGGACGTTTCCAGGACAACCTGGATTTTATTCAGTGGTTTAAGAAATTCTACGATGCTAACTACGATGGGAAGGAATATGACCCTGTGGAGGCTCGACAAGGGCAAGATGCAATTCCTCCCCCTGACCCTGGCGAACAGATTTTCAACCTTCCCAAGAAGTCTCACCATGCAAACTCCCCCACAGCAGGTATTGTCACAGTGAAATCAAGGAATCACCTCCATTGTAAAAAAATGTGAAACTGGTTCACTTCACACCCTCCTGCATTTCACTGTGTTTGTGATTTGATTCTTCACAGTCGTCAATGTTTTAATGCCTTAGAATGCTTTTTATTATAGTCTGTGTGACCACACTAATCTTCCTATGGCCCATTTGTCATACATCTAATGATCTTGATTTAAACTACTAAGAAAAAAAGGGAGGGGGGCTAGGAAGGTGGCTCAGTGGTAGAGTGCTTGCCTCGCATGCATGAGGCACCACATAAACAGAAAAGGCCACAAGTGGCATTGTGAATCAAGTGGTAGAGTACTAGGCTTGAGCTAAAGAGCTGAGGGACAGCACCCAGACCCAGAGTTTAAGCCCCACAACTGACAAAAAAAAAAAGGCAGATATTACAGAAAGTTTACTAAAAAGAATACATCTAGTTTCTCTGAGAAAATTCAAGTAGTCTTGTTTAGATTTTGCCTGAAATATTTTTACTGGTGGTATAGCCCATAATATGAATTGATTTATGAAGTTAAATCTCAATCATTACTTCTCATCCGTCAAAGGAATTGTATGATCTGTATATCTTGTCTCCAAGTAAAATGGAATGATATCTCATTTAGTGAAGTCATTGAGGATAAATACCCAGAGCTTCAGTTTTTTTTTAATTTTTAAATTTTTTTTAACTTTAAAAATAGACTCCCTAAAATATATTATAAATATCCTTTCCATAAAAAAGCAGACTTTGCTAACTAAAACATGTTCTTCTGGAACTGTCACTATTCTAAACACCAGTTGGATACTGGAAAGTTAAACAGTGAAAGTTCTAGAGCCATTTGTTTCAATTCCAAGTGTAGAGCCCATTGTTCAAACCTATAAAATCAGTTCCCTATTCAAATCTCTTATTTATACCCTGCCCAGAATCAGGACGGGAGAGAAATGGTTAATAGCACCACTTGGGTATGAATAACTGTATAACTGTTGTTTTCCTTACTGTTACTAAACCTTTTTCTGCTAAGCACCAGTTGCTCACACCTCTATTCCTAGCTACTCAGGAGATTGACATCTGAGAATCACAGTTTGAAACCAGACTGAGTGGGAAAGTCTGTGAAACTCTACTCTCCAATTACCCACCAGAAAACCTCAAGTGGTCCTGTGGCTTAGGGATAGCACCCAGGTTCTGAGTTCAAGCCCCACAACTGACAAAAAAAAAAAGAAGAAGGAGCCTTTTTCCCCATTTATTTCTGTATTGATAGGCATAGTTCAGGAAAACTGAGACTACTGTCAATCTGGCATTTTAAAAGTATTAAAATACTTCAAAAGTATTTATTTTAAAATATAGTTTTAAAAATAACAGGATTGATAAATGTATTTGCCAGCATTTTAGATGCATTTTTATTCATTTGGATTAGTTAAAATGGGGATAGATAGATAAGCCAGGAAGATATATAAAAGATAAAATAAGTTGGATATTAGTAATGGTAGATACTGATATGAAAGGAAGGAAAGTGTTAAGAATGACTTCTTGGTTTGTCTCACACACTTGGAAGGATGGGGATATTGTTCAGGAAAGAAAACCAGATTTGGAAAGAAATCTCAAGTTTGTCTTGACAGATCGAGCTGGAAATTTCTTTGCATCATCTAGGAGGAAATCTAAGTTGACAATTTATGGGTATTGTGCATGTGTGCCCGTGTACACATAGTGGAGTGTGGCTCTGAAAGTATGGAACTGGAGGGAAAAATTGAATACAGTCTCTAAAAAGGAAGAGCCTTAGCTAGGCAACAGTGGAGCATGCCTATGATCTTAGCTACTCGGGAGGCTGAGATCTGGGGATCGTGTTTTGAAGCCAGTCGGGACAGAAAAGTTTGTGAGACTCTTTATCTTCAATTAGCCACCAAAAAGCCAGCAGTGGAGCTGTGGCTCAAGTGGTTAAACACTAGCCTTGATTTAAAAGGCTTAGAGATCAGACCACCCCTAGGCCCCGAGTTTAAGCCCCAAAGCACTGGGGGGCGGGGAGGGGAGGGCTGGGGAGTGGGAATCTTGAACTCTGACTACCATAGCTAACAAGAGAGGGAACAGCTTGTCTGGGAAGATTAGGAAGATTAGAGGAAACTGGGGAGTGATGTGTCAGGAAAGCAAAAAGAAGGAAGCAAAATAATCCTCCAGTCTCTGAATCTACTGAGAATTCATGTACCATGAGGTCTGTTGGAGTCCATTGGATTGCACCGTGTGGAAGTGATTCAGTAGAAAGATTCAGTAGAATGGGTGATCTCTGTAGAAAAGAAAACTAAGATCTTTGAGAATCCATACATACATGTAAGGAGAAAGCAGGGAAAGCAAGGTTAAGAGAAAAGATGAAGATCCAAAAGAAAGCCAGAAAGAGAAGGGAAGAGGAAAGGCAAAAGGCAAGGGAAAAGAGAAGTAAGAAAAACAGGAGACAAAAAAGAAAACCAGAGCGAACAGGAAGGGAAGAGAAGAAGGAAAAAAAATGAAAGAAAACCAGGATACCTCAGTAACAGAGAACAAACAGTAGGAAACTTCTAGGAAGAGGGTGGCCAACAGTGCTGCATATTAATTATGGAAATATGAAAGTGGATGAATCCTTAAAATAGGTCAAGGAAATCTGATTCCTAGGGGATGATTAATAGTCCTTCAGAGAACTGGTCCAGTAAGATGCTGAGAGCTTACCCCTGGTTGTAGCAATTTGCCATGAGGATTACAACAGTGACAGAGTAGGAGTAGATTCAGCCTTTCACAAATTTGTCATGGAATTATTAAAGAGAGTAAGAACGTTTTACTATAGGAAAAAGAACAAATTCAAGAAGTGAGATTGAGATTGGGAGGAAAATGGTGTTTATCTGCTTCAGTTTGGTTTTTGGAAAGAAAAAATTATCAAGACTTATAAGATGGGAGAGAAATCCATGGAGAAACAATAATTGAAAATACAAAAAGAAAGAAAGTTGGGGGTGGAGAAACTAGAGGAACATATACTGAAGCAAGAAGGAGAAAATGAGGCCAGAGGGTTAAAGAGAAGATTTTCTTTTGTCCCCAGAGCAGAAGTGATGGGAAATATTTGTTTAAACACACACACACATACACGGGCTGGGAATGTGGCATAGTGGTAGAGTGCTTGCCTCATATGCATGAAGCCCTGGGTTCAATTCCTCAATACCACATAACCAGAAAAAGCACCACCAGAAGTGGTGCTGTGGCTCAAGTGGTAGAATGCTAGCCTTGAGCAAAAGAGGCTCAGGGACAGTGCCAGGCCCTGAGTTCAAGCCCCAAGACTGGCCAGAAAAAAAAAACCAACTCTGAAGTTTGGAAAGGAAAAATTCATATAGTCAAGTTGGCCATGTGCTTTAATTACAGTACCTTTTATCAGTCTTGGACCTAGAGCAGAGAAGAGGATGGTCCTCCCCAGCGTTTGGAATCTAGGAACACATGGCGTGGGAGGACAAGGAGAGGAGAAAATGGTGGCTGACATTTTTCATCTTAATGTCATTTTCTAGAGCTGTTAGAGAAGGACAGATCCATGATAAAACTCAGCTGCTATGTTTCATGTTTTACTAGTGAAATTAGATCTCATAACATGGCCTTAATTTTTTTTTTTAACCTTGGCTCTAACATTCCTCCTCCTACAAATGAGGCTGTTGCTCGGCAGCCTGGCCTCATTTGCCAGGAATCCCCTCCTCATCTCACAAAAGCTGCATAAAAACTTGTGCCATTTGAACCTGAAAGAGAAATACATATTTTCCAGAGCTTAAAACTCTCAGGTGACAAAGCTCAAGAAACCCATTAAAGTCAACAGATAATAAATTTTGTTTTTAAAGATCCAGAATGCAGTAATTCCTGAGAGCAGTTTTCCTAATTCCTGGACCATGTTTACCTCATTACCTTAATCAAGGAGAAGGAATATTTTCAGAAACCAAATTAATCACTCCCTTCTTAATAAATAATGTTTGAGGGGCTGGGGGTTTAGCTCAGCAGAAGAGCGCCTGCCTGGCGAATGCAAGGCCCTGAGTTCGGTCCTCAGCTCTGGAAAAAATAATAATAATAAATAATGTTTGCTTATTGAACATTGTGAGATAATAAATTTATACCGGAGAACAGTTACAGCAGGATAGACATCACATGTAGAACATTATTATTAAAAGCCCTAATAGGATAAAAAAAAATTTAAGGGCTCATTGTTCTAGAAGTCATGTGTCCAGATATTGGGAACACAGCCAAAAAAAATATAAGATAAAATGTCTTCTAGAGTCAGAATACATGTTATAAAGTCTAAGCTATAAAATTAATGCACTTTATTCATGAGAGAGTTTCTAGGGTACTTATCCAGAGTTGATTTGCTCTTTCTTAATTTAAACATAAAGAGGTAGGAACCAAGAGAGTCCAAGCATCAGTTTTTTAAAAAAAGAAAAAAGCTGGGTACTAGTGGCTTACTCCTATAATCCCTGCTACTTGAGAAGCTGAGATCTGAGGATCACAGTTAGTAGCCAAGCCCAGGCAGGAAAGTCCATGAGACTTGCATCTCCAATTAGTAGCCTTAGCTTTTTCTCAGAAGACTAGCACTGTACCACTTGAGCAAAAGAAATTCTAGGACAGCCCCAGGCCCTGAGTTCAAGCCCCAGGGTGCACACGCACACACGCACACACACAGACGTAAACTTGTTAAAATCTTATGAAAGAACCTAACAGTGTGGACTCCACTTAAAAATTAAAATAGCTCCATTTCTCAGCTGTCCACAACGTGTGTAATACCTGAGACCTTAGGATTTTCATTAGTGCAGGCAGGGCGGGAGGCGGGGGAGGCAGGGGGCAGGGAGGGAAGATGGGATATGCTTTTTGTCAGGCACTAGTGGCTCATACCTGTAATCCTAGTTTCTCAAGAGACAGATATGAGGATCATGATTCATAGCCAGCCTGGGCAGGAAAGTCCATGAGACTCTTATCTCCAGTTACCAGCAAACAGCTGGAAGTGGAA